AGTACAAGGCGTGAATGACATTCTTGGAGTTGTTTGCAAAGCATCTAGGGATGCAAGCCAGCGTTTTGCTCACTTTACTAGCTACAGCATCACATTGAAGGCTCATGTTCATCTTGTGGTCAATGATGACCCCCAAGTCCCTTTCATCCGTAGTACTAACCAGCATAGCACTGCCGAGCCTATAAGGATGCTGCAGGTTTTTCCTCCTAAGTTGGAGAACCTTGCATTTTTCTGTGTTAAACACCATCAGGTTCTCATCCGCCCATTTCTTGAGCCTGTCCAGGTCAGCCTGGATCGCCCTCCTGTCCTTAGGTGTGCATGCTTTACCCCAGAGTTTGGTATCATCGGCGAACTTGGCCAATCTGCTTCTGACTCTAACGTCCACATCATTAATGAAGATGTTGAACAATATAGGTCCCAGGACAGAGCTTTGGGGGACCCCACTGGTCACAGGGCACCATGATGATTGACTTCCATCAACCACCACCCTCTGGGTCCGACCATGGAGCCAATTCCCAGCCAGCAGATTGTGGTGGACCTGAGGCCGCAGTTGGCCAGTTTTGCCAAGAGGTGATCATGGAATACCAGATCAAAGGTTTTTTTTAAGTCAAGATATATGACATCAATCTCTTCTCCCTTGTCCAGGTGATAGGTCACCTGGTTGTAAAAGGAGATAAGATTGGTCAAGCATGACCTACCTACAACAAACTATGTTTGCTGTCCCTCGGGATGTTGCTGTCGGCCAGTCTGTTAAGAATGGCCTCTTTAATAAACTTTTCTAAGACCTTCCCTGGGATAGAGGTCAGGCTGATGGGCCTGTAGTTTGCCGGATCCACTTTCCTCCCTTTCTTGAAGATAGGCACTACACTGGCCTTCTTCCAGTCTTTGGGCAGTACACCAGAGTGCCAGTTGTTTTCGAAGATCCATGCCAGGGGCTGGGCTATGATGCAGGACAGCTCCTTTAGTGCCCTGGGGTGTAGACTGTCAGGGCCAGCTGACATGAAGGTGTTCAGCCTCTCAAGGTGTTCCTTCATCAGGTCAGCACTGATGGAGGGCAAGGAACCACCCTCACTCGGGCCTCCCTGTCCCGTGGTGGGCAGGGGTGTCCCATGGGACTGATGAAAGACCAATGCAACATACCCATTTAATAGGTTGGCTTTTTCCTGGGCGTTGGTTGTCAGTTGTCCCATCTGGTTTAGCAGGGGGCCAATGTTGCCCTTGCTTTTCCTCTGGCTCCCCACATATCTAAAAAAGGACTTTTTATTGTCCTTGATACTTGTAGCTACTTGGAGTTCAGTTGCAGCCTTGGGTTTCCTGGTTCACTCCCTGCAGGTCTGGACCAGTGCGGGATATTCCTCCTGGGAGGTGGATCCCGTCCCCCATCCTTTGTAGGCCTTTCTTTTTAGCCACAGGAGGTCCGCTAGTTCTCTGGAGACCAAGGGAGGCTGCTGTGCCCTTTTGCTGCCTTTTCTCCGAGACGGAATAGCATTAGCTTGTGCATTGAGGCTAGCTCCCTTGAGGAGCAACTACTCTTCCTCAGCTTTTGACACAGAGGCCTCCAATTTCAGATATTACTGTCTCTCACTATGTATAATAAAATGGAAAAGTTATCCAGTGATAAAAGGGGGGCGGGGGCAGGAAATCAGTAATTCTCTAGAACCCTAGAAAGATGCCCAAGTCTCTCAGAAGCAGATACATCCTCATTTACATTGTTTCAGAGAGCAGAAGAAGGGATTAAATCCCACACAAATAATGTACAGCAACAAAATAATGTTTTGAATAAGCACAAGGCTGTTCCTGACCAAATGCAAAGGATTCTTGGTTGACACTGGGAAGTTTCTGTAGTTATTCAAAAAGCTTGTTTTAGCAATACTGGTTCCTTTGCAAGGAAAACAAGCAGAATTACAATTCTCCCTACAGGCTCCCACTCTCCTGCCGTTCTTGCATAGAGAGTCCAGCTAGTGTTACAGTAAAGAGTGTCAGGACAGTCCATGGCGCACAGTGCTCAGTTTATCTTTGAAATAATACAACCATGACTTCATACCTGAACAGAGTTGAGGTGACAGTATCCATTTAGTGGAAATCTGATGACATGTGTGGAGTCGTGATTCCAGCCAGCATTGACAGAATTACACATCACATCACCAATTTCTGGAAAAACTTCTTCTATCAAGGATTTATCCCCACTCAGTGTAATCCTCTCTCCAAGATCCGGAGCTACACGTACCACCAAGCACTCGCAAGACCTTGAAAAACGGCCAGTCTCCCGATCCTGTTTCCACCTTTCCATTTCACCCAGCATGGGCTGAAGCTGAAAATACTTTGCCTCTTCGTATAACAAACTGTAGTCCTGAAAGATATACATTTTACTGTGCACATTAAATCAGATGCACAATGAACATGCAAGTAACTTATTTATACATTTTTTCTAACAAAAGCTAAACTAATTCTATTTTGAAGCCTTTATACCCAGTTCCATAACTGTGTACATTACTGTTACTTAACATAAGCCATAATCAGCCTCTTAAAAATACTGACCGAATCATTATTTAGAGCAAAATGGGGATTTTCCTTGTTTTAAAAGAGTGTGTATCATGACAGGCAAGGTTCTTTGGGTAGATGTGATATCTTTTATTAGACCAACTGAGTAGTTGGAAAAATGTTCTTTGCAAGCTTTTGGGTGCAATCACCCTTCTTCAAGCATAGTGAGTCTCTGCTGTTCTGAGACTCCAAGGAATGAAAGAAGCTAAAAGTGTGACAGGATGTCAGTGAGAAAGTAAATAGGTAGAAATTAGGAAAACAAAAGATACAGCAGGGAAATGAAGGGGGAAAACAAGGGGGGAAAAAGTGAAAGGTGAGTAAAGGAGACTTTACAGTAGTAGATTTTCAAGGTAGAAAAGAGGCTGCCTATGAAAAAGTAAATAGCTGGAAATTAGGAAGACAAAGGGCAGAAAAGGAGGGGAGGACAGGGGAGAAAGGGGTGCAAGTGTAAGAGGTCAGGTCTGGCAGGTACCTGGTGAATCAGATGTCAGGCAGGTTGTAATTTGTCATAAATCCAATGTTATATTATGGGATATATATTAATACGTATTTGTGATATATGATTATGATATTATTGTGCTAGGATCTTGATATGATCATGAATATGGATATATGAATATATGGAATATATATGAATTATATTATATCCAATGAATATTATGGGACACCACAAATAGTCACATTCCACCTTTCTTGAAATCCGCCCCCCATAGTGATGTCATAAAATAATGACCTCATTGAACAGATGGAACAGAAATTGAACTAGGATTCAAAAAATCCATCATTAGGATCTATTGTGTCTTAAAGCAATACTAGCAGGCATAGTAACAGGTACAAACATGTAAATGAGAAAGTCTGCAATGGCTTTAAGAGTAAAACAATTGAGATATTTGCATAATGATTTGCATATATTACTTAATTTAAAAAATTAAGTATTTTTTAATACCTCTCATTTAGGCAACAGTATTGTTTCTGCTATGTTGCCTCAAACAATAAAGAAAATGCAATTCAAAGTGCAGCCAGTATAGAAATTATTTAGAAGTGATCGTTTGGAATTTGCCTGCTTCCACGTTTTAAATTCATTTTTTATCCCCTTATTCTTTATTGGGTTAAAAGCATGGATTTGGAAGAAAGTATTTGTATTAAGAAAAATAATCAGTGAGAAGCTGGGAAGATAGAGGAATGTAGCAACAACAAAGGAACTGCAATAACAATATCAATATTGCATTCAAATTGGGCTACAGTTTTATAATATCACATGCATTCTAGGCATGCAATAACTGGACAGTCATTTAGTCATATTTATGATGTTAGTTAACTAACATAAGCTTCTACAAGAAAGAGGGGCACCTGTTTGTTTTTAACACTTTTTTGTAGACATCTCCAAATATAACTGGAAAGGACCCTCTGAACACGGCAGTGGATGTACTGTCAAGAGTTATATTTTTAATTTCAGCAGTTATAATACCTTTGAACTGTTCTGCAAATACGATCCATTAATGGTATAAACAGGGCAGCTTTCTGCTTTTCCAGTAATTTATACTGACCTCCAGGAGAAGCAATAAGGACAACAGGGCCTATCCAGAGCTTCAAAGAAGAAGCAGATGCAAGCTATTTTTAGACACTGATGTCACTTAGGTAGATCTATCGTAAGTGCATGGGAAGAATAAGTGTGCTGACACCAGAGGTTATTCAGGAGATTGCTGTAGCCAGCTCCTAAACTAAACCTAAGCCCATTTCACCAGTCCAGCAAACTGCTTTTCCTACTACAGAAATAATTAGGGCCAGATTTTCAATGGATCTCAGTACATTATGTAGTGAACTCTAAAAATCTGTCTCTTGAAGAGAAATAAAATGTTATGAAATAACTACACCTCATCCATACATTTCCATCCCATCTTACTGCCATGTCTCTTATTGGAAACTAATCACACAATTGGCTATGCGTTCAGAGGGAGGGAGGGAGGTTGACAAAGTACTGTTTGGAGCATATCTGTGGCCTCCACTTCACCCCCACACACTGGAATAAAAATAGAAAGTTTCAAGAATTTTAAAGCACTGTATCTATAGACTTGGTAACTGCAATGAAGAATTGCAATTTTCATTCACAGAGTTCTCTAGTTTAAACAGGGAGCTGGCAAAAAGAGTCTCAACTTGGCCTGATTAATGAACGTGTAATAATTTGCCCTCAATTTCTCAGCCAGAACTCAAAGAATAAGCCACCAGCCTAGTTCAGGGGATGAGGGAAGACGGAACTCTGCTCTTCAATCACAGCACACATTTTAATATTTAATTTAACTTTGCCTGGCATGATTCCTTTCTCAGTCTCCTGGTATCCACCTATGATCAGAGGTAGGGGCTTTTTTTAATCAAAAGGGGAAATATAACAATTAAGTGTGGGGAACCTCTCCGGTATATTCATGAAAATTAGTAAGAGGCAGAGAGTCTAGTTTAAAACCTGAATATCCCCCCAGTATCACCCCAACATCCCTGCCTGATATAACAGATGTTGCATCATTATGCTGTATGTTTAGAAAGGGACATATAATGTTAACACCACTCTAGAAAAGGCCAAGAATGACAAAGTTTAATTCAGCCAATCAACAAAAAGCAACTGTTGTAAATACTCAAAAAGCAACCTCCCAGTGGACTATTTTGATCACACAGCCAAGTTCTCTCTTCAGCAGAGTATCTCCAAATGCCCTTGATTCACTTGAATTCTCACCTTGAAATCATCAGGGATGAGGAGTTTTGATGTTCGTAGGAAATTCAAAATATATCTGAACATTTGCCCATCTCTGTCGATGAAATAATGCTGCTTGAGACTGTCCAAAACAATAGGTTCCGTGCCATCAAAAAGCCTTCCAATTCTGGAGAGGAAAAGAGGGGAATATGTGTGGTAACCATTAACAGCAAAAGCCACTTGCTTTGTTACTCAGGAGTGTACCCAAAAAGATGGAGCTTATTCACATGAGGAGTCTCAATGGCTTCAATGGCACTATTTTTGCAGGTAAGTACAACTCAATGTAAAAGCTGCAGAATGTAGCTTTAAGGATTGCTGATATTTACAGGGACCAGTACATAATAGGAATGGAAATGTCAAGACATTTCTATCAAAGAATAAAAAATTAAGCAAGTTGAAACAATACTGGCAGATCTGGGGATTTTACAGAAAAAGAAATTAACCCTACTGCATTTTTGTCTATTAGTATGCTCTACAGTTTATATGGAAGTTTTATCAATCCCTACCACTATGCAAAAACATTTCATATACTTACATTTTCTGCCATGGGTTTTTTTTTCCAAGCTCAATCTGTGCCCAAAAATGAGGGAAGCAGGGTATAGAATCTAAAATTTGAGAGTTTACACAGAGTTTTTCTGAAGGATTAATGACTGCTTGATTTGGGATCCCACAATTATAGAGCCTCACCACAATCAGTTACATTCCGCACATTCAATGCTTTCATTGTACTGAAATAAAAGGCTCAACCACACACAGTTATGTACCAAAATTGAGTATTTTGGCGTGACATCTGCTATAGTTTAGAGAAATAAGATATGTAGATATAAATACCTTTATTCATACATCGTCTCAGTTTCGAAATCAATACAGTTAATTGTAAACAAAAGCTTTGCATAGACCGGATTCGAGTTTCTCCCTCACAGTTTAGATTAGAATATACAGTTACCACAGTGAAAACTACCAGAAAACTATATCCATGCTAAAATGATGAGAGAGAAGAACCATAATGTTCACAATATTATATAGAAAGAAACATCATCCACCTTTATAATTTTATGTTTAAAAGTTACATTTATTCCATTTTTCAAATAATAGAGGGTGCAAACAATTGATTTAAAAAAGAATCACAACGACTAGAAAAAGGAACATACATCTCACTGACATGTAAGCAGCTAAATGAAGTTTACTTGTTTATGTTTGTCGAATGGTCACACAAAGAGCACTCTTTTTGAAGCCATCACATTTTTTTCCACAAACTTTCTGATGAATGCCTTTTAAATATATGCCTCACCATTGATGAATTCAGGCTGTGGCTGGTCACATAATACAGACTCCTATTCACTGACTAGACAAATATGACTTAAAACCGGGCTTGTAGTGCAAATAGTGGTGATAGTAATAATTTAAAATTCACTTTCCACAGCATTTGATCTTGTGATTTTAACATTCACATGGGAACAAACAAAGAAAAATGTCAACATGTCTAAGATGATCTTTTTTAACAGGTAATTGAATGCATAGTCATAACCACCTTGCTGTGGTATTTGTCATATTCTACTTGCTATTAATAAGTATTTTAAACCTTCACTGTAGTATTATTTATCTAGCAAACTAGAAACTGGTAACAGAAAAAGAATCTGGTCTACAAAAATTTAATACTGACAAAGGTCAACAACAAAAAATAGAGCACCCAGTTTGCCTTTCAGATGCCATGTTCAGATTGTAGGGCTAACAAAAATAGCCATCTTTCACTTAGCTTGTTTGATCCTCAACAAGGGTAACCTATAGCCCAGGGGTGGGCAATTATTTCGGCTGAAGGGCCGCTTAGCAAGTTTTGGTGAGCTGTCGAGGGGCACATGGGTAGTCCCACCCCTTGACAGTTGCTCTGCCCCCAGGCGCCCTACTGGGACCAGGCTTCCTGCCCCCCCAGTCCCTGACCTTTGCCACTGGAAGTCCCTCCCCTTGCCCAGAAGCACACCTTTTGGGAAGGAGGGTGCTGCAATAAAAAACCCCAAATCATACAAAAAAAATTAAAAATCTATTATATCTTATTTTAATTTTATTTTAAAATATTTTTGTACTGATTTATATGTTTGCAAAGTGTATCTAGAGGTACATAATAGCTCAAAATACAGTCCTACTGTATTTGTGTGTGGACAGTAAGGGGGTGTATGTGGAGGGGTGTGGTTGGGAAGTGGGTGTGAGTGTGTAGTGGGGTGTGGGTATGGTGTGTGGGTGTGGAGGGGTGCGGGCTGTGGGAGGAGTGTGGGGTATGTAGTGTGGAAAGAGAGAGATGGGGCTGGGCCACTGGCCCCATCGCATGCAGCTCTTGCAGACTGCGTGTGAGCCTCACACAATGCAGACCCCATGCCCAGGCTCCACGCTCCTGTCGCCCCATCCTGGGTCCCTGCTGGTCCCAGGCACCAGCATGGGCTCCACACTCATGCCTGCCACCACCACTCCCCCGACATTTCCCTACTTTCTCTCCCCCATGCCTGCCTGCCACTGCTGCTGTTGCTTCCCAGCCACTACCACTCCCCACCACTGCCACCACTTCCTATGGCCCTCACTACTCCCCCCACCACTCCCCGTGCCACTGCCACTTTCCGCAGCCTCCTCCCCCACTGCCCCCCTGAGTGTTGCCGCTTTCAGCAGCCCCCAGCTCCCTGCGCTGCCTCTGCTTCCCACGGCCCCTGGCTGCTCCCCCTGATTCTCTCTGTGCTGCTGCCTCTTCCCACAGCCCTGCTGCTGTTCCTCCCATTACTCCCCATGCTCCTGCTGCTTCCTGCAGCCCCCCTGCCACTCCTACTTCCCTCCGCCTTTCCATCCACTGCTTCTCATGGCCCCCTGCCCACCACTTTCAGCTGTGGCTCCAGCCCACCCTGGCCAGCACCATGCAGCTCCTGGCTGCTGGACTGATCGCAGTGGTTTCCCCCCATCCTTCCATCTGATGTTATCTTACTTTCCACACAGTTGGAGGGAGATAAGGAACAGCCCCAGGGTTGTGAAGCCAGAAGCCGCAGAGGCTTCTGGCTGGGGGCTCCCCCTGGGTCCCACTGCTGCCGCATCTTTGACAGGCAGCCAGGGGCAAATAAGAATTAATTTTCTAAAATTTTTAGGGGGGCCACAGTCTGGATAGAATGGCCTGGTGGGCTGGATCTGGCTTATGGGCTGTATTTTGCTCTCCCTTACTATAGCCCAATTTTTACAGAGAATAACTTTTCAGAACCAGAGTCAACCTTCTAACAGTTTAGAAACAGTAAACCTCAATCAGATATATTCCAGTGAAAGTTAAAAGCAGTGGTGTTTTTAGACAGAATCTGAAATTTTCTAACTCCTGTCCCTCAAAAATTAAGTCAAGGAAAGGACTGCAGCAGAGACCACTAAAGATATGCTATATCAGGGGTGGGCAAAATACAGCCTGTGGGCCAGAACTGGTCTGAGGAGGGACTTTGTTTTGCCTGCGGCAGGTCCCTCGGATCAGTCAGAGCCCACATACACAACCCCATCCCTGGCCTGCCCCAGACTGCCTACCCCTGCTGCGAAGCATCAAGAGCCAGGCAGAAGCTGCTGCTGGACATGGAGTAAAAGCAGCCATCTCCCCCTCACTGCTGCCAGGTCCTTCTTGCTGCAGCCACCCAGAGCCCGTGCCCAGGCTGCCCTGCAGCTCCTCTCCACTGCCACCACTGCACTGCTGGGTAGCTCAGAGGCGGAGAGGAACCACAGAGCAGCCTGGGCACAGGCTCCAGGCAGCTGCAACAAGGAGGGCCTAGCAGCAGTGATGGTAAGGTGGCCAGTTTTCCCCTGCACCTAGCAGCAACTTCTACCCTGCTGCTGCTGTTTAGCGTGTGCGGGTAGTCTGGAGCAGGTGTGGGGCAGGCTGGGATCAGAGCTGAGTGCATCGGTTTTGGCTAGTCTGGAGCTGGTTTGCTCCAGCCAGGGCAAGTTCAGAGCTGGGGTTGGAGCTGGGGTTGTGTGGTCAGCTGCTGTTCAGCACTGGTGGTGGCAGCGGGGAGGAGCAGCAGGATGCATGGGCTCTGGGCTGTTGTGGGGCAGAGATGGGGCACTGACCAGCCCTCGACAGTACCAGAGAACTGCCTATGTGGCTCATGGGCCCAAATAATTGCCCACCTGTGCTATACATATTATCAGATGTGGTTTACATCACAGAGCTTTTCCTGCCTAGCTGTGCTGGCAAAACCCTCACCACCGATGTAACTATGCCAACAGAAGCATATTTATATTGGTTTAGCTGTGTCACCTGGGGAGATGGTTTAGCTGAACTGGGAGAAACCTACTTTCTACCAGCATACAGATTTCATAGAAATTAGGGCCAGAAGGGACCTCATAAGATCATCGGATCAGCCCCCTGCCCAAGGTGTAGGAAGTCAGCTAGGGTCAAAGGATACCAGCAAGATAAGCATCCAACTGTTTTTTAAAAGTGTCCAGAGTAGGTGCTTGTGCCATCTCTTGGGGGACTCTATTCCAGGCCTTTGGGGATTGGCAAGTAAATAAGTTTTTCCTTATGTCCAGCCTAAAATGGTCTTGCAGGAGTTTGTGACCCTTGGACCTTGTTATTCCTTGGGGTGCTCTGGTGAACAGGCATTCTCCCAGATCCTGATGCACATCCTTTATATACTTATAAGCTACCACCAAGTCACCCTTGCATCTCCAGGCTGAAGAGTCCCATGGCTCTCAGCCTTTTTTCATAAGGCCTGCTCTCTTGCCCTCCAATCATGCATGTGGCTCTCCTCTGGACTCTCTCAAGCTTCTCCACGTCCTTTCTGAACTGTGGAGCCCAGAACTGGATGCAGTACTCCAGCTGCAGCCTCACCCAGGCCGAGTACAGCGGGAGGATGACATCCTGGGTCTTGTTTGAGAAGCATCGGTAGATGCAAGACAGAGTTTTGTTTGCTTTGCAAGCTGCAGTATCACATTGGTGGCTCATGTTTATCTTGTGGTCAGTCATGACCCCCCAAGTCTCTTCCAGCCAGGGTGCTAGCAAGTGTAGCACTGCCAAGCCTATAAGTGTGATGCAGGTTTCCTCCTCTCCCCTGAGGTGAAGCACCTTGCATTTCTCTGTATTGAATACCATCAGGTTTACATCTGCCCATCTTGCAAGTCTAT